GAGATTGCATCAATGCAGAGTCTGTGAACTGGAGGTAGAGATCAGAAAAAAACAAACAAACAAACAAAAAACAAACAAACAAACAAACAAAAAACTGGCCCCTGGTGAGTCTTTGGAGCCACTATGAAGGCTTTGATTTCCATTCTGAGTCAGATGGGAAACCACAGAAAGTTTTGAACTTGCATTTTAGCAGGGGCACTCCGGCTTCCGTGATGAGAATAGACTTGAAGGGGGAGAGGGCCAAAGGAGCTCCCTGCAAACATCCAGGTGAGAGAGGAGAGCAGGGGAGGAGTGAGACGTGGTCAAATGCTGATAGAATTCGCAGACCAGATGGAATGTGGTGTGTGAGTGGAAGAGGTGGGTTAAGCTGATGTCAAGGGTTATGCCTGAGCTACTTGAAGGCTGGGGTTGTCATCACATGGGATGAGGAAGACTAACAGGTTGCAATTTTGGTGGATGCAGGGGAATGAGAAGGGAGATCTTAGGAGCCACGTTTGGGACATGTCAAACTTGAGATGCCTGTAGACATCCAATTGGAGAGGCTGAATGTCTGATCAGGAAGTCTGGAGAGAGTTGGGGCTTAATACTGTTTATCTATAAAACTGAAAACAGTGTAATAATGTGTGCATAGTCATACTTATTATTGGGGGGGATTAAACAAGACAATGCATGGGAAGCTCTCAGTGTAGGACTTAGGATGAAATATTCCCTCGATACATTTCAGCTATTATTTTTATTGAAACTTAGCCCTAACTGGTTTGGCTCAGTGGATAGAATGTCAGCCTGTGGTACAGTCAAGGACATGTACCTTTGTTGCAGGCACATCCCCAGTAGGGGTGTGCCAGAGGCAGCTGATCAATGTTTCTCTCTCATCGATGTTTCTAACTATCCCTCTCCCTTCCTCTCTGTAAAAATCAATAAAATATATATTTTTAAAAACCTTAAACATCCTCAGTCAGTATTTCTATCGTTACCATGAAGTTATGAGTGTGGCTGCTTTTAAGATTGATATGTTGTTTCTGGTGTGTCAGTTCCTGGGCACGGTTTGTAAAAGAAAACAATGGCAGTGCCTTCGGAATGAGTCCCTGGCCCCCAGAGTTTAAAATTATGAAGGCTTTTGCACCCGCTCAACAGCCTCCATAGGCAGACCATGTTCCATTCCTTCAATAACCAGTACGTTGTTTCATCAACCCAGAATTGATTTCACGTTTCAGAGAGGGTTTGACATGGAGGAGGAGGATGCGGCAGTTTATCCGCAGAAATGGAATACCAGCAAGGACCCTGCAGGGAAGACAGTCCCAGATGGTTCACGCAGCCTGTGTGACACGGGGGAGGGGGGAAGGGGGACTCCAATGGAAGGAAGCATGAGGACTAATGGACTGCGCTGCCCCAATTTCCTCAGCTCCAGGTGTGACTGCTGCCCACAGGGGTATCTGGCTCCTTTGAAAATCGATCCACAAAAACCATCTCCCATGTCTTCCTGAAATAGCAGGCTTCTTAGAGGAACCTCCCTTGAAAAGCACATCCCTGCCCTCTGTTATTAGTTTATCCAGTCACCTTTAGCCGCGTTACGCTGGGAAAGTGGAAACAGGAGCTGACGTGGCTTTATTACACCCTTTTAGATCTTTGAAGCAGTGAGGTTCCAACATCAAAACCTGAACAACGTTTGAGGTTCCTCTCTTTTTCTTTTTACGTGTCTTTGAATTTCGACTATAAATCCTTGACCCTGTAATTCTCCTCTACATCTATAACAGGCCTAATGCTCAATAATTGCCTGTTAATAATCCTCCTTATCTCCATTTGTGCATAAAGGGGAGCTGGGAAGAGCCGGTTCAAACCGTCCAAAATGCATCTGCAGCCGAAACCGGTTTGGCTCAATGGATAGAGCGCCGGCTTGGGGACTGAAAGGTCCCGGGTTCGATTCCGGTCAAGGGCATGTACCTTGGTTGCAGTCATATCCCCATTAGGAGGTGTGCAAGAGGCAGCTGATCGATGACTCTCTCTCATCGATGTTTCTAACTCTCTATCTCTCTCCCTTCCTCTCTGTACAAAATCAATAAAATATATATATATTTTTAAAAACACACACACAAAAAAAATGCATCTGCAGCAGATACCGTGTTTCCCCGAAAATAAGACCTAGCGCATCTTTGGGAACAAAAATTAATATAAGACGCTGTCTTATTTTCGGGGAAACAGGGTAGATGATTAAGGTCACAAGCGATCACAGGTCTTGTGCAGGGGATTTAGTAACAAAGCACAACGCAGAACGGGTTGCTGCGCCAATGAGGCGGGAGAGAGAAAAGGACACACAAAAAAGACTCTTCTCAGATCCCTGTTTTCTTCCGTCTGTGAATGAGGCCACCTGACTGAGCTGATTAATGCTAATGAGCAGGCCAATGCTCAATCAAACTTCGAGAAACACCAGTTTCTTTCCTTCTCCTTGATTCCTTTGCAAGTTTCTAATGACGGCCACATTGACTGGGACTGTGCCTCAAGCAGATCTCCGAGGCTCACTCCACAGGAGAAAGCAAGCCTCTCCCTCCCGTCCCCAGGACTCAGGGGAGCACACCCCCAGGACTAACATCTCGGGGTCCCCTAGTCCAGCAGGACATGTGAGGGGCTGAGCTAGCCCCTCCCACATCATTGATGTTATTTTTCTCCCTCCCTCCCTCCCTCCCTGCCTCCGTCCTTCTTCCTTCGTCTCTGAAATATATATATCTCAACAACAAAAGAACAGGTATCTTTCATTCCTTCTCCTTTCTCCTCTCTCTAGCCATTTTAATTGCGAGTCCTTTCTGTCTAGTCAGCCTTCCTGTCCTCTTAGCCCCTGCCCCACTGATCCAGAAAGGTCACCCAGGGGTCTGAAGATCATACAACTCATCTCCTGAACCCACTTAGCGGACAGTGAGCCAAACATGTAAAATTCCACGGAAGAGTCCAAAGGGGGTTAGAATTCACCTTGTCTGCCTTTACACAGCAGGACAGAGGTCCTAAGGCAATTCCTGGGATCCTGTCAGACAGGCAGCCCTTCCCAATACTAGTAGGGGGCTCGGCGGGGCCAAGGAATGTGCACAGTCCAGCCCTGTCTGGGCAGTGGCCGGCGCGCAGCACAGGGCGCGTCCTCAGTACCTGCTATGCAATGAGCAGGCCGTTTCCTCCCATCCCTCAGCTCCGGGCTCCCGAGTATCCGAGGTTTTCCGCTCCCGTTCTGTGCAGTGAGGGGAAACCCTCCCCATGATCCCCCGTCAGCTGGCTGGACGGGGCTGCTGCTGCCAAGTTCCAGGGACATCCTAGCATTCCACTCCCCAAGTACTGTGCTGATTCAAACAGGGCCTCCCACACACTCCAGCGTCAACACAGGCGGAGTCTGCTTGTGTCTGCGCAGTTCCGGGACAATCAACAAACCCATTACCTTCTCAGTCCCAGGCTGGATGCTGGAGGTGCAGCATAAGAGGCGTGTGAACGGTTATATATGCATCAGGGCACGGGTGGTTAACAGCAATGACTCTGCAGCCCCCACCGCCTGGGTTGTATCCCGGCTCTACCACTTGGGTGAATATTTAACCTCTCCCTACCTGAGTTTTCCATCTAACAGGGGTCTTCAAACCACAGCCCACGGGCCACATGCGGCCCGCAGAGGAGTCTGATCCGGCCCGCCAGGTTTTTTGGGCAGTGAGCGCAGCCGAGGTGTTACAGTAGGAATTAGTAGTTCATATAGTCCGGCCCTCCAGCTCTCTGAGGGACCGTGATCTGGCCCCCACTCTAGAAAATGGAAATCAGAGCATGACTCAGAGGGCTGAGAATGATGAATGTAATTCTGATGATGAGAACCGTGATTTAGAACCCTGCTGGGCACAGAGTAAATACTCAATCAATTGAATTATGACTGTTTTGGCATTTGGGCTCCTGTCTGTGGGGGGGCCTAACGTTTGGCCTATTTCACTTCATTCTCTCTGCATCTGGCTGGTGTCCTAGTTTCTCAGGAGGGGTTTTTCTTTGCTCCTGGCTCACCTCAGTCCCAATGGCCAAAAATGACACTTCTCCACACTACTGCCTGGCTGTTTTGTCCACTAGGATTCAAATACAAAACCTTCCATAGGTGAGGCAATCCTCCCCCTTCTATGAACCCGAGTGAATTATTACGTAAGTATTTGTCTAAGAAGGTGAGGAAACTCTTGGTCCACACAGAGGAAGGACCAGACACGAAAGGAGTCGCCCTGAGCCAGATGCTGGTTCCTAAGCAACCTCGTGCCCACATCTTCCTGTTCTTTCAAGGTCAAAGGCGGGAGTTTCCACATACCTTTCAGAAATTCTGACTCCAGCGAGCAGTGATAATATCCCCAGGATTTAAAAAAATCATAATGTTATTTTTCTTCTCTACTCACCCTAACCTCTCTACCTAGAAACAGCTGGTTATGATGTATTTATTCAGTTAGGCAAATACAGACTTTTCCTCATGCCTCCCAAGTTGCCATTACTATGATTATTAAAGCCACCAGTGCCCACGTAAGACATGTAAACTTCAAAATAAGTTGGATTTCGACCCAATTGGCCAAGGCAATTATGAATTTCCATGACTTGGTAGTCCATGGCCTCAAACTCCAAACAATTTCCATTCGCCCATTGAACAGTTCCATGAAAAAACACGGCCTCGCTGTCCTGCCTGCCCCAGCCACGCTCCAGGCAGTACTCTTCGTATCACTTCCAGTGCTTACATTTTGGATCATTTCAATGCAAAGAGAATAATAACAACTGTTGGCCAACGAACATTAAAACGTCCCCCAAGTGGGCCATTTTATTATCAAGTAAGAATTACCTCTGCTCTGCCACCCACCTACCCCCACTCCAGTCCTTGGAAACCGCTGCTTCTGGCAACCTGAGTTAGCTCCTCAACGCATAATGGCGAGTTATTCCGCCCCAAGGTCTCTGTCCCCGCCAGGGTGACTGAAACAAATCTCCAATAGTTCAGTTGCCCCACGTTCCTAATACACACTTACCTGCTCCCTTCACAGTCTTCACGCTGATGACAGGATCCCGGAGCATCAATCCGGGAAGGGACATCAGAGACCAGCCAATCCAAGCCCTCATTTTACAAACACAGGCACCGCAGCCTGCGGAGAGGAAGACACTTGCCCGAGGTCACATAGCTCCTTAATGAAAGAGCTGGGGTTAGGATTGCTGAGCTGGAGATTCATCTCCCCTCGCTGTCATGCTTCTTCCAACCGGTTCTTGCGCTCTCCGCCCTCATTGGCTTTGTGCTCTCAACACACAGTCCACACCCGCGTGGGCCGTGCCAGCAAACTTGCAAGGCTCAGCCGGAGTGAACCAACCAGGCTCAGCTGGCCGGGGACTTCCTACCTGCAGAGGAAGAGTTGTCACGTGACTCTCTTGGAACCACACACGGCGTGTAGGGACACATGTGATGTTCAGGTGTATCCACTATTGGATCTCTGCCATCGTGCTGAGAAGCAAGCAGAGCCTAGAAGTCATTTAGAACATCTGAGTCTTTCAAGTTCTTTTCTTCCAGGCCTATAATTTTGTAGGACCCTACCACAAAAGCTTTGGTACTATAGCCCAAAATCCACTTACCTAACAACAAACACTTACTCAGGAGATACTTGTTCAACAGTTTCCACTGGCTAGGCACGCTGCTAGCATCAGGGATGCAAACATGACTAATAAGTGATTCTTATCACTTTTCAGTGGAAAAGACAGGCACATGGACGATGGCAAAAAACTGTGCTAAGTGCTTTGACACTCTGACAGGAGTAGGCACAGGTCTTGTAGACACACGGAAGCAGTAGCTAACCAGGCGCAGGAGGGTCAGTGGAGACATGTTTTAAAAATAATCTTTTTATTTTGGAATAGTTTAAGCAAAGCTGCAAAAATAGTGCAAAGAGTTTCCATATGTTCCTTGCTCCAGTTCCCCGTAGTGTTAACATATCACTGCGGTACACTTGTTACAACAGAGACCAACATGGGCATATTACTTTTAACTCAACTACCCCGTGTTTCTCCGAAAATAAGACATCCTCTGAAAATAAGACCTATTATACTTACAGGTTTCCTTCTGAGTGAAATATAAGGCATCCCCCTGAAAATAAGGCCCCCCAGGCTCTGTCTCAGAATGAAAATTAATTTACCTTACCATATACAGGTAATAAATTTCCTTTATTTTCATTTAACAATAAATGTGTACCATATTCTTCTTCATGGAAAAATAAGACATCCCCTGAAAATAAGACCTAGCACATCTTTGGGAGCAAAAATTAATATAAGACACTGTCTTATTTTCAGGGAAACAGGGTAGTAGATACTTGTTGAAGAAGGTGAACTCTAAGATGATTTCTGAATAATGTTAAGAGTTTGTCCAGCGAAGAGGCAGGAAACAATAATTTTAACTAGGAAGAAAAACATGTGCAAAGACCCAGACCTGACTTTGGTGAGTTTAGGAAATGGCCAGTTGCAGTGTGCTGGGGGTGGAGGTGGGAGATTTGGAGGGAAAAGATAAGGATGGAGGAAGAAGAGGCACCAGATGGGGAAGAGGAGTGGAAAGGGATGAGGTTAGTGAGGAAAATAGGAACCAGATCAATAAAAGGCCTTTTAAACAGGGTCAAATTTAAACTTTTTCTTGAGGACAACAGAAAATAAATCAAAGCATTTTATATAGTAGACCAACATTATAAAAATTCTATTTGGAAAGATCACTTAGACTACAGGGTGGAAAATTCTCTAGCAGTGAAAAGACAGGGGAATAAAGACCTGAATGAAAGTTGTTGGTGGATGGCCTGAATGAAAATCACAGCAGAGGGGGTGGAAAGAATATATTAGTAATGAAATTTAGAGATATTAAAGATCCAGGTTTGATAGGACTCATGGTTAATTAGATTAGAGCCTAAGGGAGCAAGGAGAATCAAGATTGACTCCCAGATTTTTGGATTTAGCAACTGGAGGAACTGGATGGTGGTGTCAATCATCAGACGACAGAGCACAGGAGTTAAGATTGATTAGGAGGGGAAGACCATCGGTTCCACTTTGAACACGTGGAGTGTGAAGTACCCCAGGGGCACTCCAGAAGACAATACAGTCAGGGGGTGAAATGGTTGTACAGGTCTGTGTTTCTGGAGAGAAATGTGAGCTGGAGACATTTGTGGTGAATAACTAGTCTAAGGCTGGCAGTTGAAGTCAGATTAGCTTGCTCAGAAGTATAGAGGAGAAGAGGGCCCAGAAAAGAATCATAAAGAATACTACTATTTAGAAGTCAACACTAGGAAGAGGTATGGAAGGAGGCTGGGGGCACGCAGAGAGGAAAACCAGAAGAATGTAGTGTCTCCTATGAGGGGAGAGCTTTTCCTGAACGGGTCCTGTGACCAACAGGACAAACACTGTCTAAAAAACAATGCAAAAATATCCTTGGGTGAAGAATAAAAATTAATTAATTAATTAATTAATTAAATTATTTACTGTGATTCAGAGGCCAGAGATCACTTAAATGGGACTAACAAATGAAAATAGATACTTGTTCCACTTAGAGTATGACTAAGCTACACTTTTTCTGGTGAAAAATTATTTTTTCTAATTAGTAGTAGCTACCATTAATAGAAAAATCTACCATAAGCCAAGCACTTTGAATACATTATCCATTTTAGCCCTTAAAATGGCATTTTAAAGTAGATATCAGATCCCTTCATTACAGGTGAAGAAACAAAACCCCAGAAAGGTTAAACATCTTGTATATGGCTCAAAACAACTTCCCAGAGGAGCTGGAATTTAAACCTCACCTTCACTCCAACACCCAGGCCTTTTCTACAGCAACCACACTGCTTTTCCTGAATGTGTACTTCCTGTGCTGGCCTTTATTTCCCAGCGCAAAAGCCAAGGACTAAAATAGGTGGTCAGGGAATTCCATCCACCATTGTGAGACCTGAGGGAAGAGACAGGTAACTCAGGCACACACTTCCTGTTCAGGCCCAGTCTCTGAGTAAGGAATAAAGAGGCTCTGGCTTTGATTCCCAAGGTCCTTGCCAGGAACCCAATCTGCCCCATTTGGTGTGCGTTGGGAAGGAGACTGGGAGATGTAGGGTCAGACAGCTTAGAATACCACCAGTCCAGCTCTGCTAACTAGAAAAAATTAGGTTTTGGGTAAGGGAAAATGAAAAATGTTAAGAGAGTTTTGCAGCAATTATTTTTAGTCTGGAGAAAACAAGCATTAAGGAAGACCCAAGTTGCTCTCACACATCCATGAGGAAGAATCATCAGGCTTGCTTTTGACATTCTGGAGGACATAACTGGGACCAGTGGGAATATGGTACAGAGAGGCAGGTTTTGGCTCTAACCATAAGAGCTGCCTATTCCAAGATAGATGGAACTGCCAGGAAAGTGGTAAGTTCCTCTATCACTGGAGATGCTCAAACAGAAGCAGGGATGCTGGTGGTAGAGGCCAAGCATCAGAGGAAGCTTGGATGGCCTTTCAGGCCTGAGATATCTGAAAGAACCACTAAAGAGAATGGCTAGGATATGGTTTCACAGATTAAGGCCTAAATGAATTATAAATATTATGTAATGGGAAGATTGGCATGTTCCTTCATTCACAATTTGGCATGAAGCTCATTCATTCATTCACTCAGTCACCCACTCAGGGAGTACTTTCTGAGGTTTTACTGTGGATAAACACCCATATTCAGTTGTTTGGAGGGTTAAAATATATGCTCCTTGAGGTTGTTAATGCATACAGTCTACTTGGAAAGAAATCCAATTTTCATACATCATCCAGACAACAGAGCCCTAAAAGTTAGAACAGAGAACAGGATAACATAGAAAGCAGATGTCAGTGAGGTAAATGTCATCAAATTCTACTCATCCTTTACTGTTCAAAAGGTCTCTCTTCCTGAAGGTGCCTCTTATCGGGCAATCGTTTATAGGAGTAAGTTTTCCCATCTGCTAGGCAAGGACTGCAATTAGCATCTAGCGCGGAGCAATACTCATTGAGGGCCCAAGTGTCCTCTCTGGTCCTGCCCTTTGTTTCATTCATCGTGGGTCCTGAATGACCTTCAAAGCCAAGTTTATTTTGGGGATGCCAGGCCGTGTTCATCTCCTAAAGGAATGAGGAAGGAGAGGGTGGAGCTGGAAAATAACCCAGCCAGATTAACTTCTGGTGATGTGTGTGGAATCCTGGAAAGAAGGGCGGCCCTCAGCCTATTGACAAATAGCATCTACCCCTTATCCTGTCCCTCCCCAAATGGGGTTGAACAATACCCCATTCTTCCAATTCTTGTCTCTGAGGGGAAGGTTATCAATGAGAATATTTGTAAGTACTGAAAGCTGCAAGGTGTGATTGGAAAAATGCTGAACGCGGAGCCCTAGTACCAGATAACTCTACCTCTAATTAGCTTCCCTCTGTCCTCAGTTTCCTTGTCTGCCGAATGAAGGGGTTGAAGTGTTCAATACACCAAGCCTGTATCTCCCTGTAAATCCGAAACTAAAGGTTCCTGTGATTATATGTTGGAATTATTCTTCAGTCGTGAGTCATCTGTCAATCTCTGACCTTGCAAATACAAATTCCTCCCCAGTGATAGAAGCTAATTCTTTTACGGGAAGATTGTACATGTTGAATGTTTGTGTGCAGAACTGTCTGGGAAGTCGAGGCAAAGGAAATGGCTCCTAAATTTCTCCTGGGATTGAAATGGAAAACAAGATAGACTATGACATCAGCTCCCATTTCTCCTGTGATCAGACTAAATAATACAAATATCAATATTAAATTATGCATGCATAGTTTTTATTTTTGCCTTTCATGAGAAGTCGCAGGGAATCCTTTGCTATTAGTCTTTAGTGCAAAGTTACGGAGAACTGGAAAGAAAAACGCATACTTTCAGCATTTTAGAGCTGCAATTGATTTTAAAGATTAGACCCAACCCCTCTTCATTCCAATAAGGAAAAAAGTAAGGGGTCCAAGATATGAAACAGCTCACTTCAGTTGTTAAGTTCCTGAAGTATTTTCTTTCAATTTGGTTTTTTAAATTTCTTTATTGATTAAGGTATCACATATTTGTCCTCAAACCCCCATTCCAACCCCCTCCCCGTCCCCCACTGCTCTCTCAATTTGCCTCACTTAAATCAATGGTAATTGGACAATACCACCACTGGTATGAAAGGAAAAAAAAAAAAAAAGACAAAGAAATGAGTCTAACTTCTTTTAATGCGTTTCCTCTATTATAACTGTTGGAGCCATGCAAGCGTTCATCAGGATAAACATTTCTGAGATAGGAACAGTTCGCCCTCCTAGACTACACCCAGAATCAAGACACAGCTACTCCATATTTTCATCCACTATCTTCCCGTCTCTTTGCTGGTAGTCAGGCAAGCACCAGAACTTTCTCTGAGAACAATGTTGCCCTTTAATAGGCCAGCCATTTGCCGCCACATCACCTATCAACTAAATAGGTGTTGCTTAGGATTAAATAACATTCAAATGCTAAAAACCTGTCCTTTTCACCAAGAAACATGATTTTTTGGCTAATTTCCCCCCTCTTTCATTCTCAGTGAATCCAAGGAAGTTATTCAAAACATCTTAGTAAAGAAAAGAAAAAATTGGTAGTTCTATATGAGCATTATTTATCTACACGTGGTCAGGTTTAGGGATCCTAAGTTACTGGAATCACAGAACTCATTCCTTGCCAATCACTATTCAGCCGGATAAGATAGGCCTTATTGTTACATTCTTCCTACCACGGAAAACACACACACTGGCTGTTTTGATAACGGACCACATTTGATAATGTTTCATTCGAACGCTGGACCAGAATGTCCTAGAATTCAAAATGCATACATGGTGAGAACTAAAAGGGACTTCTAAGAGCATTTAATAATCACATCTCCCTCCTTTACAATGAAAGAAACACAGTTGCAGTGAAACAGACTTGTGCTTCTTCACGTGACTAGATAGTGGCAGTGCCAGATCTAGAGGCCATGTCTCCAGGCTTCCTGCCCGGGTCTTTCCAGGGGCCCCGCTGCTTTCCAGCACTGGAGCAGGCTTTCTAAACACTCCGAATGGGCTGGGTGGAGGCTCTTCCTTGGCAGCCAGCCCCTCCCACTCCAGAGCTGCCTCTGCTCTTCCACTGCATGAATTATAGATGCAAGAGGTTACTAAAGCTTGAGTAGGCAGATGTGTTCCCTTTCTTGCCCCAATGTCTTACATTCTGTCAATAAGGAAGGTGGGTGGCAATTCTTAGAGTTATCAGTTGCTCCCATAGTAAAATTACCATTCTAATTTTTTCCCGAAATCCATCGTTGCTATGCAATGTGCAGTCAAGAAGGAACATTCTATTCTGGTTTTGAATTATGTGAGCCATTCAGTCGTCTGGTTCATGTCTAAGAATTATATGTGGCTAGTTGGCACGCAAAATTGGGGGCAGCACTGTTCTGATGGTTCTGTAACAGGAAGTTTGGTTGCATTAAAATCCTACTTTCTGACCAGTGATGCCCATCCAGGCACTACCTGTTAAAGGCTAAGAGAGTAGTAGGGTGCAGGGGAAAGAGATTTCTGCTTGACATTATAATTATCTGCATTAGAACCCTGCCTCTGATCATTACTAGCAGGATGACTTTAAGCCGTGCACTTGGTTTCTTCCTTACTTTTTTAAAAAAATACATTTTTATTAATTTCGGAAAGGAGGGGAGAGAGAGATGGAAACATGATGAGAGACAATCGTAGATTGGCTGCCTCCTGCACGCCCCACACTGGGGATGAGCCCACAACTCAGGTATGTGCCCTGACAGGGATTCAAACCCTGACCTCCTTCCTGTTCATAGGTCAGGGCTCACCCGGGCAGTACACTTGGTTTCTGACCCTCCCTCTTCTCATGTGTAAAATGGTACACAGATTTGAACTTGCTTTATAGATACAACTAGAGGCCCAATGCACAAAATTCATGCAAGAGTAGGCCTTCCTTTCCCTGGCTGCTGCCACTGGCTTCCCTCTGACACCTGGGACCTCGGCTCCCCTCACAGCCCTGGCTTCTTCTATAAGGTCATTCGGAAGGGAACGACGTCTGGTCTAATTAGCATATTATGCTTTTTTTTATTATAGACATTACTGAGCCAATATTATAATTAGTTCAGACCAGTTAACTTTATAACTGGTCATGAAGAAATGAGACTACAGCAACAACATGGAAAGGCCTAACTAGGTATAAAACCTTGCTCTTCATTTACTAGTTGGTTCATCTTGAGCAATTTCCATCCTTTGCTTTTTTATATATATATATATATATATATATATATATTTTATTGATTTTATACAGAGAGGAAGGGAGGGAGATAGAGAGTTAGAAACATCGATGAGAGAGAGTCATCGATCAGCTGCCTCTTGCACACCCCCTACTGGGGATATGCCCACAACCAAGGCACATGCCCCTGACTGGAATCGAACCCGGGTCCCTTCAGTCCCCAAGCCGACGCTCTATCCATTGAGCCAAACCGGTCCCGGCTGCTTTTTTTGTTTGTTTGTTTTTTGTTTTAACTTTTCATGAAAAAATTTCAAACACACTCAAAATAGAAAGAAAAAAAAATAATTTAAATGATGTCCTAATCGCCGGCTTAAGCAATTATCAATATTTTGCTAATATCATTTCATCTCTCTTCCTCAAACTTTTTCCACCCCCATGAGGTGTTTTAAAGCACATTTGGACAAATTGTTGTTTTAAAGATTTCTGTGCTTCAATGTTCTCATTTAGGAAATGAAGATTATATGATCTAATTTATTGGGTAGAACTGTACTGAGCACTCAATAAATGTTAGCAATTATCAGTATTTACGAAGGCACCAATGTGCTCCTGGGGCGTAAAAGCACTTCCCAGCGCAGCGCTCCCAGCTCAACACCGAGGTCATTAAATAAACAGCCTGTTGATCTCTTCTCTCCCAACTGTAGGACTTGTATGCATGCATATAAGTATAACCAATGGACACAAAATTCTGGAGAGGGAGGGTATATATGGGAGTGGTGGTGGGGGCAATGGTAAGATATGTACACATATAATTTAATTTTAAAAATGCTTTGCAAAAATAAATAAATACATAAATGCATAAATACATAAACACAAATGCATAAACACATAAACACATAAACAAACAAGCAAACAGTCTGCAGGAGACCACTCCTCCGTCGCTAAGCTTACGGCCGCCCCCTCTGGGCGGCCCTCTCCAGAACCGCTAGTTGAGGACGAGGATTGTCCCTCGCAGGCTCCCGTTGCCGCGCTCAAAAAAAATAAAGGGGCAAGAACCGGAAGTGTGGTTGAGCTGACTTCCGGGCGCGAGGCTACGGCTGAGGAGAGCGCGGCGCGGCTGGTGGAAGCCGGTGAGGCAGAGCCGCGATGTTCCGTATCGAGGGCCTCCCGCCGAAGCTGGACCCCGAGGAGATGAAGCGGAAGATGCGCGAGGATGTGATTTCCTCCATCCGGAACTTCCTCATCTATGTAGCCCTGCTGCGAGTCAGTAAGTACCCTTCCAGGCTGTGGTGGCGAGGCCGCCCAGCCCTGGTTCTGTAAACCTTTGGGGGGGGGTAGGGGGGAGTAGGACGCCTTGGACGGAGGTCAGCGGCCGCGGGGGGCGAGGGGCAGGAGCGTCCCGGGCCGCGGGCGCATGCGCGACCTGGAGCCTGCAGCTCGGGGTCGGGGTCCGGAGCTGCACGCGGTGGCCCGGGCTGCGTGGTGAATCGTCCGGCCTCGCCCAGCTTTGAAAGCGTTTGAGTTGGCTTCAAGGGTTCTAACCTCCTAGAGCAGCTCCCTCGTTTTGCAGACAGAAACTGAGATCTGCAGCAGAGCGGCTCAAGGTCACTCAGCAATTCGGTGAGTGATCTTGACCTGGAATCCAGACCTCTTAACTCAGGGTCAGGGTTGCTTACTTCACTGCTGACCTTGTTATCCAAAAAGTGTTGCTTATTTGTACGTAAAGGTGGTTTTGAGGGGGGAAAGAGTGAGAAGAAAAGGGTATGAGTCCATAGGATTTGATGGTAATACCTAAGGGTTTATTTGATTTTATAGTTAGCAGAAACTTGTTTATATTATCTGGTCTCGACTGTAACTCTTTGAAGGTAGGCGGGGCCTGAGATTCTGTGTACCCCATTTATTAATTTGAACTGGACTTTGGGGAGGGGGGAGGTTATGCAAAATATATTCAGTTGCAGGGGCTCTGACTATTAGAGCTAGAGTTGGCGTCTCTGGTTTTAGATATGAACCTCGGAAGAGACTTGCCCCCATCTCGCTCTCGGTTCAGTACTCTTCATTGCTCCTTGTATATTGCTGTCAGGTGTGGATGGAGAAGCAGGGACGATTCAGGTAAACGAAGGCCATGCCAAGGTCATCCTGTAGAAACTCCTGTCTGGGCCTAGCCCAGAGCTCACTGATGCCAGGTGTCCCTTTCCCTGTCGGTGGTGTTATTCTGTTTCCGGGGAGAGGGGGCCCTGGTGAGCAGAAACTCCCAATTAATGTGAATCACCTGCTTCTTCAACAGCTGTTTGTGGCTCCCACCTTGTTTCCTCCGCTTAACCGTTTTTTGTCGATTTAGCTGCCCGTTAAATATTTGCTTTTTCTCAATGACTTTTGTATTTGATATGAGACCGTTTTAAAACAACGACATACAGAATACCGTTCTGTACTATCACTTTTTAAATTGAAATGCAATTAGCATATTATACAGTTAACCCATTTTAAAGTGTACAATTTAGTGGTTTCTTAGTGTAGTCAGAGTTGTACAACCATCGCCACAATCTATTTTAGGACATTTTCTTTCCCTTTAAAAGAAACATGCCCTTAGCTATCATTCCTCATTTAACTCCTCCTCCGGCAACTGCTAATCTACACAATGCATGATCTTTTGTAACTGGTTTATTTAACTTTGCATAATGTTTTCGAGGTTCGTCCATATTGTAGCATGTATTATTTCCTTCCATGTATTGTTATTTCCTTCCTGTTCATTGCTGAGTAAGATTCCGCTGTATGGATATACCACATTTTTTATAGTAGCCATCGTAATAGATGTGAAGTGGTATCCCCTTGTAGTTTTAATTTGCATTGCCATGGTGATCAGTTTTGATGAGCCTCTTTTCATGTGCTTATTTTGGCCATAGCCCTTTTACACAGGACAGTAATATTCTTTAGATCCTTAGACAACACTTAGTAGTTTTCTAGACATTTCTACCTACACTATCCTAATACGCCCTTATAATTGAAGTAGGGCTGTATCATCTGTGATCTGGCATAGCTAATTGGTAGGGGAATCAAAATGTGGTCTGGCCCTGGCTGGTGTGCTCAGTGGTTAGAGTGTCAGTCTCAGCACCAAAGGGTCTCAGGTTCGATTCTGGTCAAGGGCACATATCTGAGTTGCAAGTTCAATCCCCAGCTCTGGTGGGGGCACATTTGGGAGGCAACCAATCGAGAGTGTGTGTGTGTGTGTGTGTGTGTGCATGTCTGTGTCTTCCCATCTCTCTCTCTCCCTTCCTTCCTCTAAAAGAATCAACGAAAAAATATCAGGTGAGATTAACAGCAACAAAAAAATGTGTGATTGGTTTTTCTGGTTGTCCTAGTTCATTGTTGTGTCTCCACCCTCACCCACTGCCTTCTTTCAAATGCGTTTTTAAAGGTAAAATAAATGCCAATTTGTTTCTTCTAGAGCAGTGTTTCCCAAACTTCTCTCATGATGAGAATCACCTGGTGGAGTTGTTAAAATACAGATTCCTGAACCCCAACTAAGAAGTGCTAAACTAGAATTTTTGGGAATATATAGGTAAAATTGTATACTTAGTGCTCTCAGTGTACAATTTTACCTATATGTTCCCAAAAATTCTAGTTTAGCACTTCTTAGTTGGGATTCAGGAATCTGTATTTTAAATATATTTTATTGATTTTGTACAGAGAGGAAGGGAGAGAGATAGAGAGTTAGAAATATCGGTGAGAGAGAGTCATCGATCAGCTGCCTCTTGCATACCCCCCCCCCCCGCTGGGGATATGCCCACAACCACGGTACATGCCCTTGACCAGAATCGAACCCGGGACCTTTCAGTCTCCAAGCCGATGCTCTATCCATTGAGCCAAACCGGTCTCGGCGGGATTCAGGAATCTATATTTTAACAACTCCACCAGGTGATTCTCATCATGAGAGAAGTTTGGGAAACACTGTTCTAAGAGTTTTGTGCCTTTGACAGTGAAATCAAAGAGTAAAGGATTGTCATTAGAAAGAGATTTAGATTTACTCTAGTCAGTCATAGCTGGATGACACTGGAATGGGTCACCTTGAAAGACAGTGAATCCCTGTTGGTGGGTTGTGCAGACAGAGGCTTGGCCATCATTTCCAGTTGTTTCCAAAAATGTATTGATCTAATCCTGTAGATTTGTTCCCAGTCTTATAATCTCCTAATGTCACTTGGGCTAATGAAAACAAAATCTCAGTTTGTTTCTTTTTCTTTCAGCTCCTTTTATCTTAAAGAAACTGGACAGTATATAAAGAATTGGATGTTACATGTGACTGCATGATATGAAGAACCTGGTTACAGTTTCTACTCTGCAAATGAATAGGCCCAGAAAGATGTAAGAGACTCTGGTTGAATGGACATAAAATTTCTACTTGATAAAAGAACAAGTTTGGTTGTGGTAACTGACCTTCATAGCTAAAACAGAAAACTACTTGGGAAACATGAAAACATGTTTCTGATGCCTGTGATCCTCAGCTTCCGTGGATGTTGGTATAATTGTAAATAATGTCAAGCTCCATTTTCTAGCAATTATTAATTATAGAAGGGAATTATGTCTGCAGTGGCCCTGTCTTGTCAGTCATTTTTAGTGACCTTTTTACTTCTGTCAGGAGTATATTGAAGAACTCTTTATGATTAGTTCTGTTTTATGAAAGCCAGCACACATCCACAACAACATTTAAGCACAGGACCATTAGTCTATATTTTTAATAAATGTACCAATTAAGGAAAAAATGTGTTGTTGTTGTTTTTTCTTCTAAACCTGTTTTTTGCTGCAAATCAATCACTGAAGAGACTATTGTAATATGGTGATTATTACAACTGCATGAAATTGAGTTCCTCTTGTTTTGGAATGGAGAATTTGCTAATCCTGATGAAGCGACATGGTTTCATAATGATTAAGCAGTCTTTGTGAAGGGCATCATTCCTGCTTGGTGCTGAAGATACATAATTCCACCAAAGGGAAAAATCGTGTGTTTTTAAAGTCAGATAGTTCTCCAAGTTTATTGGAGAAGGGTGGAGTCTTGTAATCTTCCTCCTGGAGACAATGCAACTACATTCACCTCTTCTTAGTTAATTATCTCGGTATTTGCCTCGTGTCTCTAAATAGCATGATTATATTGATTTTTCTGTTTTACACTTACTGACTTCTCCATGTCTGTAAGGAGTTAAGTCTCTTACCTCCTTTACTCATACATCTGATTTTTTCTTCCTGTCAGTGCACTTAGTGTGATTTTCATTAGATCAATTTCATTAGAATTCCAGGTGCTGTTCGTGGTTTTCATTTCCTGCACACCTTTTGTTTTTCCTAGGCTTAGTTTTCTGTGAATTTACCACTAAACCAACTAGCCTTTTGCTATTGCTCCCAGTGTTCAGTCTCATTAGATACGCTGTTGCATCTTGCTGAATTCCTCCTGGAGCTCTCGACCTGCCTCAGTCTGGACTCTCAGTTTTCTGTATCTGATGTGTGACTGTGCTCTGGGATCTCTCTTCACCATCATCCGGGGAATTCCTTTTCTTCTCCCATGTTGGATCTCTTGTTTTCTGTATCTCATGTCCAGTGTGCATTTTTTCACTGAATCTTTGTATTGTGTGCAATACCCTGTCCATAACTTCCAAGCGTCCCAAAATCCAGAAAATCTGCTATTTTACCTTTTACCTAATTAGAAGATGAACTTCTAATTTGGTGAGGAGCCTGCTTAGCGATGTAGAGTTGCACAGAGCATCTGCCTACGTAAACCTTCAACCAAATCTTATTTTTGTGTCTACCCCTTCACCTCCTCCTTCGAACAAGCATATGAAGCCACCAGTTCCTGAGCCTTTAGGGATCTATGATATAAATTGGGTTGTTTTGCTGTTCTTACCATTAACAGTAAGGATTCCGTTTTCTTGGGTCTGCCATGTTATTTATTAATTGTCCAACTGCTTCCCAACTTCTAACTTCGTTGCTGTTGTCTCTTCCCTTTTTTTATACCCTAAAACAAATAAAAAATTTTGCTTTCATTTAATAGAATTTCAGGAGGGAGTGGGAGTAGATGTATGTTCTCAGTCCACCATTTTTACCCAGAGAGTGTATTTTTAACCCCCTTTTGCTGTGTTCCATGTTGGTGATTTATGTCCATTCCCAACTTAAAGTGGTGCATGGTATAATACCATGGTCACAGACACCTGCTCTAAAGACAGGCAGACTGGATTTTGAGTTCTGGCTCCAACACTTATGAGTTGCAGGACTTGAAGCAAATGAACCTTTAAATCTCATTTTCTTCTTGTGTAAAATTCGCATATAGAAACATCTCTATTTCCAAGTGCTATAAGGGTGGAGTGAGAGAATACAAGTAGAGCAGGTAGCACAGTGCCTGACACTTGGTAAATGCTAGTTACTAATGGTTAGTCTTAGGTACAAGGTGCTTAGCAGTGATCTGTGCTGGCATTCACTGCATGTGTTTGTGTTTCCAGTTGCTATGAGATAGCATCTTCTAATTGTATACAGACTTCAAAATTACTGAATATTTAAATTCATCCCCTAAAACAGCCTTAACCATCGATGTTAATGCTATTTTACAGATTGCTAGTTTGAGACTAGAAGTTTCAGTGGCTAATAAATAGTAGCTGGCCAAAGCTTGGGGATTTTGATGTTTGTTTAGTGTATCCTATCCGCAAGTGCCTTTCTCCAGTGCTGATAACTTAGTTCCACCTGGCACCATAGTCTCTTCACTCTACCACCAAGTTGCTGTTCTTCACCTGCGTCGTGTCTCAGCTTAATCTTCATTAGCTGTGATCAACATACACCTTCAACCCACTTTACCTCTCTCTAGCTTCATTGGACTTCCCTGGTAAAACTCTTAAATCCAACTCTTTGCCTGCTCTGTGCCAGCCCTGTGCAGTTGAAAGTAGCTGGCGGGGAAAAGACATGCTGACAGAACCCACTTGGAAAATGATGCCCCTTCATTTGGGTCCTGCAGGACCGCTACATTTTCCACGGGTTATTCTTTCTCCTCTACACATTTCATATCTTCCCTTGCCTCAGTTCCCATATCTCCTCTGATCTTTAAGCTCAGCTGATGATGCTGCTTCACATTTCCCTGAGAACATAGAAGCATCCAGAAGAAAGCTTTCCTAAACTTATCCCATGCATGATACCTACCCACACACCAGCATTTTACCCTCCCTCCTGTTTGAAATGTCTGCCCCTACTTAAGGTCAATACCATCTCAGATGTACTCAATTCCTCCACCCCATTAACTACCCATGGATCTTGCCCGCAATTCTCTTTTCAAATTTTCTTTTTGTTCTTGGATCGTTTCCAAAAGCATACAAAGGGCTGTGATTTCTTCTGTCTTAAAAAAGATTTGTTAAAAAGCCCTGTTTCCAGTTTGTTCCGTGGAGAATGCTGAGATTTTGTGCAGAGGGTGTTGGGGGAGTATTTTGGGGGGAAATACTTACGAGTGAAACGGTCTGGTCAGGAGGAGGAGTTGAACTGTCATGCAGCTGCAATGAGGGTGACCCAGTTTGAGCCCTGAAGCGCCTGTGTCTGGGAAATCTCAGCCCCGGGTAAACCAGGATGGTTGGTCACCCTAGTTGCAATAGCAGCGTTTGTCAATTCCAAAGGTGTTTTTGTTTCTCTTTCAGAGAAATCCTGAATCAAGGCAATAGATAGCCATTGAGTATCAGTTAAAATCAGTATTTTAAAAAAAAGAAAGTTAAAATGAAAGAATTTTAGATTGTATTAATAAAATTACATTAGCCCAGCTGATGTGGCTCTGGTTGAGCCTCAGCCTGTGGACTAGGAGGTTGCTCGTTAGATTCCTAGTCAGGGTACATGCCCATGCTGCAGGCTGGATCCCCAGTGGGGGGTAAGGGAGGGGGTTGCAGCCAATCAATTATCTTCTCATCAATGTTTCTATCCTCTCCCTCTGAAATCAATAAAAAAATATTTATTAAAAAAAATACATAAAGGTCTGACAGATGCTACAAGAGTAGCCAGCCTGCTCTGGCTCATGTGGCTCAGTTTGTTAGATCCTTGTCCGCTACATAGGGTCACAGGTTCAATTCCCGGTCAGGGCACATATCCAGGTTGCAGGCTCAATCCCTGATTTAAGTATGTACAGGAGGCAATCAGTGTTTCAGGACTGAAAAAAAAAAAAAAAAAAAAGGTAACCAACCTGTCAGTTTGATAGTTAAGTGTCTGGAAACTGAAAGTGTCTGGAAATAATTTTTAAAAAATTAAAGGTGCTTAGCCCTAGCCAGCTTGGCTCAGTGGATAGAGTGTCAGCCTGTAGACTGGAGGGTCCCAGGTTTGATTCTGATCAAGGACACATGCCCAAGTTGTGGGCTTGTTCTCCAGTAGGGGGCATGCAGGAGGCAGCCGATCAATGATTCTCATCATTGATGTTTCGACCTCTCCCTCTCCCTCTCTGAAATCAATAGAATTAAAAAAAAAAAAAAAAAAAGTAAAAGTGCTTAGCCTTGAGAAGACCTACAGTAGGAGTCTGAGAGCTGTTTGTAATAACCAAAAGGGTTGTGTCAGAGGAAGAATAATTGCCCCAGGAGGCAGATAGGATTAGTGTTTGGAAAGCTCTACTGTGGCCAACATGGACTGGATTGTGATAGGGGCTTTTCACTGGAGGAGGTTTGCAACAGAATCTAAACATGGGCATTCTGTAGGAGGGCTTGCCACTGGGGGAAAGTTTGTCATTTCTTCTCCCTGTTACTGAAAACTACGTGAGTACTACCTCACACATTTTTTCTGTTACACATATATTCTTACAAAGAAGGGGGTAAATACATTGAAGATGAAAAAATGTAGGTCTCAGAAAAATATTCCCAACCTATCTGATAGAGGTGTTCACTTTCACAAGCATTCATTGCCTACACAGGTCCAGGTACTGTGGTGGGTGAGGGATATAGCAGAGCAGAATTCATTCATGGTACCTATCTTTAAGAGGCTTGCTTACAATCTAGCAAGGGAGTCAGAATTAATTAATTTATCACTAATCTTCATTATATATATTTATATATGTATATAAAAGCCCAAGCAACCAAAAGTCCAGTTGACCGGTTGCTATGATGTGCACTGACCACCAGGGGCAGCTCAACACAGGACCTGCCCCCTGGTTGCCAGTGCGCTCCCACATTGGGAGCGCAGTCAACTGACTGACAGGTGCCAGACAATGCAGGGCTCAGAGCTGGCAAGCTCAGTTGTAGCACCAAGAGCCTCTCCCAGGGATACTCCCCTTGTGTGCCTGTGGCAGGCGCAGTGGGGCTGGGATGAGTGGGAGCAGCATTCACCAGGCCCCACTACTACATCCCCCTCGGGGTCCAGGATTGTGAGAGGGAGCAGGCCAGGCTGAGGGACCCACCAGTGCACAAGTTTGTGCACCGGGCCTCTAGTATTATATAAATCGGTAGGAGAGTGAAGTACAGGTAACTGAGAATAAAGCATAGAGGAGCCCTTGACCTGTTGGGTTGGGCTCCCTGTGAAAGTCATATTAAAGTGAGATTTGGATGACTAGGAATTTGTCCGATAAAAGAGTGAGGAACCACCAAAACTGGTTTGGCTCAGTGGTAGAGTGTCGGTCTGTGGACTGAAAGGTCCCAGGTTCGATTCCGGTCAAGGACATGTACATTGGTTGTGGGCACATCCCTGGTAGGGGGTGTGCAAGAGGCAGCTGGTCGATGTTTCTCTCTCATCGATGTTTCTAGCTCTCTATCCCTCTCTCCTTCTCTCTGTAAAAAAATCAATAAAACATATATTTTTTTAAAAAGCCAAAAGAGTGAGGAACCTTTGAAAAAGTGTTAAAGTAGATATGTGTTTAAGGAATAAAGGCCAGTGTGACTGGAGTGTGTTGAGCACAGAAGAGAAAAAAACCTTCAATCCTTCCAGAAATTCCTGTTGTGTTTCAAACTAGTATTAAAGAAGATCCCATTCTGACATCTGCTGGTTCGTGCATATACTGCAATTCTAAATTTTGTTACACAAGAGCAATCTTCATAACCTATTTTTTTTTTTAAGGCTACAATGATAAATTAGAAATAAAACACCAGGTCTTTTCCTTATTCTAAATGTCTATCACATAGGAGACTGTGAACAGTTGATATTTACATGCTATTTGCATGCACACAACATTACAGATGCATGCAAATAGCATTGTACTAATATGAAAAATCTGCTTTAAAGCATGTCTGATAATTTTCCTTTCTCAGTCACATTAGTATTTTCATAGTCCAGTTAATGTCTATAAAAGACATGTAAAAATTTACTATTACATAAACACCATAGACAATAATACTGCTGCATTTGAAACAATGTTCCACTGGCAACTGCCTTACCATGCAGTTACTTGAAATGTTCATTACTCATCTGACATTAAAAATATAAGTTTGGTGAATAAAAGGTGATTTAAAGATATATGTAATATGAAAACTGGATTGTTAAAATCTATATGTTAGGAAGGAGCACTGGAATTAGTCGTTCAAAGTCCTGGGTTACAGCTTCAGTTCTGCTCCTATGTGACTATATCAGTTAGATTTTTTTACTTGCAAACACCAAATCCAGCCTTGGTAGATTTAAGGAGAAAAGTAATTCTTGCAAAAAATTATAGGAAGTTTAGCATCATCGGGGGCCTAGAGAATCAGGCTTGCAGACTAGGCAACTGGAACTAGGCACTTGTCACATGGTCACTCCACACAACCTGGTGCAGTGAAGACACCGTCTCTGCTGAGGATTAGAGGCCACCATTTGCTACCAAGGCCACAGGCACAGGACCCTAGACTATTGTGGCAGCCAGTGTTGGTCTGAAAACTTCCTCTCACCACATTTGCATGGTCACCAAATAATTATTCCATGACTACTTTGCTGTGTCTCTGGCACCAAATTCAAAGTTTAATTTGTAGTGTCACATGGAGAAGCGGAGAAAATATCTGAATTTCAGCATCTATAGTGGAAGGCCTGCCCTGATTCTCAACAAACTTATAAGATAACGAATTTCCATATTAGGAAGAGAGTTTAGATCCTGGGCAGACAAAAAAGGACGATGGAAGTCTATTATGTTTACCCTGAACAAATCACTGTAAGTCTCATTTTTCTATAAAGTAAATGACATTCACATGACTGTGGAAAGTTATATACGTTTACTCTCATCTATAATAATAAAAGGGTAATATGCTAATTAGACCAGATGTCCTTCCGGACGAAGCCAGGGCTGGAGCGAGGCCACCTGGGTCCCGGGTGCTGTCCAGTGGCCAGAGGGAAGCAGCCCGGGTCCCAGGTGCCAGAGGGAAGCTGGTGCCGGTAGCCGGGAGGAAGGAAGGCCTACTCTTGCACAAATTCTTGTTCATCGGGCCTCTGGTTTCACAAATATCAAATATGTGCCAGGATGCAAAGTTGAACAAGTTGGCTCTTGTTTAATGGCAGAGTAGCATGCACAGGCGAGATGAGGGTAGAAGAAAGGGCTCAACTGCAGTTTGCAAATGATGTTTGTTTTTTTTTTGTTTTTTTTTAATTTTTATTTATTTATTAAATTATTACCTGTGTACATATTCATTGTAGTATAAATCATAACCTGTTCTGATCTGGCCTGACCTAAGTCGAGAGGCGTTTCTACCACAGTATATCTAGCTACTTTGTGTACAGCTTTGTGTCTGCTTAAAATACACTGCTGGCTTTAGGCTTAGAGTGGTTCCTCCCCCACTACCACTCCCCTCCCATGTATAAAAAGAGAGCAGCTGCTTGGTAATTTGGACTTCACTCAGAATAATAATAGATGGAATACACTTTTATAGGCCACATTCTATAGAATTAGGGACTGACAGGTCAATGGGACCACAGGGATCAGCTATTACAAACCTCCATCCTGTGTGATAATTTTTTTTTAACAGCGATCTCAAGTTAGAGTTCTGTAGCTGACATTCTCTCCTAAAATCTAGGAGTCCATATCCAACTGGCTTTTTTATTGCTTCATTCGGGATGACAAAGAAGCATCTTAAATTTAGCAAGTGCAAAAGTGTGCTCTTGATCTCCCTCCACCTCCAAATATGTTCCCCTACAATAGTTACTATTTCCATAAACAGCACTCTCATGGGCCGAGTCAGTAGGTTAAGCTAGAATTCTGGGAATCCCCCTAATTTCCCATATTGAGCCAAATTTGACTCTACCCCCCAAAAATGTGTCTCTAATCCATTTCCATCTTCACTACTCCAGACCATTCTTAACCAATGTCTCTGCTTTCACTCTTAGCTTTATCTATTCTCCACATGGTTGCTGGCATACTATTTTTAAAAAGGTATCAACTCATCTACATTCTCTACACCTTCAGTGGCTTCCTTTCACATAAAATTTTAAAATCCTTATCGTGGCCTACTACTAAGTGATGCATGGTCTAGCTCCTGCCTCTCTAACTTCATTTAACCCAACCAGCTCTGACAAACTGGACATCTTCCGTTTACCCAAAGAGCAATCTTCTTTCCTCTGCCCTGCTCCACCCCACCTGAGTCCTCACACTGGCTTTCCCTCCTGACATCTGGTTAGCTCCTTACCTTTCTCTGGAGGCCGCTGACCACCTTCCCTTACCCCCTAATTTTATTTTATTTAAAATATATTTTATTGTTTTTTTTACAGAGAGGAAGAGAGGGATAGAGAGTTAGAAACATCGATGAGAGAGAGACATCAATCAGCTGCCTCTTGCACACCCCCTACTGGGGATGTGCCTACAATCAAGTACATGCCCTTGACCGGAATCGAACCTGAGACCCTTCAGTCCGCAGGCTGACGCTCTATCCACTGAGCCAAACCAGTTTCGGTTTACCCCCTAATTTTAAAAATCAAAGTTCCTCCAGTGCCCTTTACTATAATTTAAAATACATGCTTAAATATATCTGATGAACAACTACCTTCTCCACTTAAGAAGTAACTTCGAGGACAGGACCCGTACCTGCTTTTTAAAAAAAAATATATTTTATTGATTTTTCACAGAGAGGAAGAGAGAGGGATAGAGAGTTAGAAACATCGATGAGAGAGAATCATCGATCAGCTGCCTCTTGCACACCTCCTACTGGGGATGTGCCCGCAACCAGGTACATGCCCTTGCCCGGAATTGAACCCGGGACCTTCTATCCACTGAGCCAAACCGGTCCCGGCTGCTCTGCTCACTTTTATGCCTGCAATACCAGCAGCGGCAGCAACTACCATTTGACCACGTGGCAGGTCCTGTGGCAGCGCCGCATCCATCATCCTTTCATACACACACGCCGCGTAGCCGGGGGTCAGTCTGTGGAATGAATGAGCCCAGCCTGGGAGCACATACACGTTGCTCACCACCATCTGCACCAGCCCCAGGACAGAGAATCCTGGAGATTGGAAGCCTCTCCTCCATACTGACCCCTGCACGCCTGCCTGCACTTCCCACCCACCGATCCTATTTCTGCCCCTTTTGGGCCCCCATGGCCTTCATCACCTTCCCACAAGCTCCCCTCGCACAACCGGAGCCCCGTGCGTCTCCCCTCCTCTTCCCTCCGGCCCCTCCCTCCCCGCAGAGAGGCCTCCGGGCTCCTTCCCCGCCGCGGTGGTCCAGGACCGGCCCCGCCACCCGCCCGCGGCTCCCAGCATCCCCGGCCCGGCGCGTCACGTGACGGCGCCGCCCGCCCCGGCCCCGCGCTGTGTCGGGCCGCCCCGCGCCTCGCGGCTGCGCTGCTGCAGCTCCGGCGCCCGCGGCCCCGACTGCGCGGCCGAGCGCCCGCGGGAGCTCCCGGCGAGGTAAGCGGCGGGCGGGCGGCCCGCGGAGGCTGCGGGCGGACTGGTCCCACCCGCAGCTCCAGGCCCGGGCCCTCCGGAGCAGGGGCTTGGGCGCCTGGAGGCTGCTCCCCGGGACCTGGTCGCTGGGGAGGCGGCCGGTGTAGGAGGCGCCGCTGGGTCTCGGCGGAGATCTGAGCATCTGTCCCTGGCGGGACCGGGGTGGGTGCCCTGGCCCCTGCACCCCGCAGGCATCCGGACGCTCCGCCGCGCGGAGGTAGCGCGGTGCCTTGGTTTCCCCTCCTGGAAGGTGTCCCGATCTCCGCGGTCGCCTTCAGCGACCAAGTGTTGGGACTGTGTTGGAAGTGAAGTGGGAGAGGATGAAGCAGACCCTCAGGGATGGGAAGAGCCCGCACCTAGGAATGCAGGAGTGAGGGTCTGGGCTGAGCACCTTCTTCAGTGACTCCTGTCTTTTGTGCACATCGCAAGCCTCTTGGAGACTCGGTGTCTCCACCTGGAAAGCACAGGTGATGCTCTCTGCTCGGCCTCCCTCACAGGACTGCAGTGAGGAAGGGAAAAGCTATTCGAAGAGTCAGAGAACTCTGGGGGTAGTTAGAGCTGGGTTCAAGTTCTACTTCTGCCACTGCCTAGCTGTGTGACCTTGAGCCATAAAGAACCCTCATTTGTTCAAAGCAGATAATAATAATATTTAGTTTAAAAGGTTGCTATAAGGATTAAGTTTCAAAGAGCTTACAGGCACGGAACTGCTCAAAGAAAGTGCTGTGAGTACAAGTTTTTTTAAACAACTGAGCTTCACGTGAGGGGTGTTGAGAATACTCACGTGTCAGTTTCTATAGGTTTAGTCCTTAAAAAGTGCTGTTTTGTTTCCCCGTCTCTCCCTCTCCTTTCAACTCTCTCAAAACCAAGGGAAAAGGTTAGATCCTTTCCCCCTTTTGTCTCTCTGGGCCCCGTTGGTTCTCATTGACGATTGGCATGTGAACCTGTTGTTCCTATCAAATGAGTCAGGCAGGATGGGAACATGAATGTGCCGGAGCAGATGGGTATCAGATTCCCTCCGAGGGGGGAGAAGAGTGCCGGCCTGTGCTGCCACCAAAAAAGCACACAGCGCAGTGATTGACAGGCGGAGCTGGAAGGTGCCTAGGAAACCGTCGGATCCAGCTGTCCCCCTTTTGCAAACGGAGAGGCCGAACCCAGAAAGAGAATGGTACTTGGATTTCCTCAGGAACCGACAGAAGGTTGGCGCTGCATGGTGGAAAGAACATATACCCTTTACCAGACACTGTGCTTTCCCTGAGTTCTAACCCAGTTTTTTTTTTTTCATTTATTCAGTAAGTATTTTTGGAGCACCTGCTGTGTATGCTTGTACGCCCAGGAGCAGGAGAATATGTGCTATTTCTCTGCTGGTCCTCAGAACCTTTTATAATAGCAGTAAGTGTCAGCTCCCAGGGAGCTTGCCTCATAGCAGCTGGCCCCCGGGGACAGAAGCACAGAGAGAGGCCTAAATTATTTCACCATCAGTGCCAGCAGCCCCAGACCCCTGGTTGAAGCCTGGGAAGATGTCAGACACTGGAGGACATGCTGCTTTTTCAGGGTTTTTAGGGAAGGACTTATTTCTGGTTTGGAGTAGTAGTTGGGTTTTCTTCGTCTTTCTGGTTTCAGGCCTCTCATGGTTTTTAGACTTCTGAAAAGTGCCACCCTCACCACAGTGCCTTCGTTTTGGTTTCCATGGTTATTGGGTGACTTGTATTTCTATGATAGCACAAGTAGCTGTTCACCAAGAACGCGGTCAAGCAGTCCCCCGGTCACTGTGGGTGTCTGTTTTCTGGTGGCAGACCTGTATTTTTATTTTCGGTTGCAAACAAACTATCCATTCCTGTACCCCTCCCCGCTTCCTTCTTTAACATGCATGGGTGGCAGGATCATGAGGAGTGGGAATAAGTACAAATAAAGATTAAAAATATATATATGTAGTCGGGACCGGTTTGGCTCAATGGATAGAGTGTCGGCTGGGGGACTGAAGGGCCCCGGGTTCGATTCCGGTCAAGGGCATGTACCTTGGTTGCGGGCATATCCCCAGTAGGGGGTGTGCAAGAGGCAGCTCATGGATGACTCTCTCTCATTGATGTTTCTAACTCTCTTATCTCTCTCCCTTACTCTCTGTACAAAAATCAATAAAATATATTTAAAATATATATATATATATATGTAGACCCAGCCTGGCTGGTGTAGCAATTGGTTGGAATGTGGTCCCTTACACAGAAATGTCGGGTTCAATTCTCCGTCAGGGTACATACCTATGTTGTGGGTTCGGTCTTCAGTCCCGGCCAGAGCAAATGCATCGGTGCTCTCTCACATCGATGTTTCTCTCTCCTTCCCCTCTCTAAACGTCAAGAACATGTCCTCAGGTGAAGATTCAGAGTATATCTATATATCCTGGCTTAGGGACCTCAGAGCCGTTGGGGGAAGTGCAAGGAAAAAACAGCGGGACTCTGATAGGTGTGGAGGACAGCGTCCTGGGCAACAAAGAGACATCACCTACTGAGCGGCTTTTCAAGAAAGATGTAAGATAAACAAGTTCCTTTTCCTTGTCTCGGTTGCATGGTGATAATAGATGGCACTACAAGCCGCCTTTTGTTCTTTCACTTGCCTTAATGAATGAACCCTCTCTTAAGTCATCTATCACAGGCTTTGTTTGAAAGCACTGCTAATTTCTCTCATTACCTGTGTGCCCCATTTCACCCATTGTGTTCTAATGCAGTCCCTGGCTCTCTGTATTTTTCCTAGTAATCTTTCCAATCCTGTAAGGCCCTTGTTAGTACCGGTAATTCCAACGTCTCCCTTTTCCAAGCCCCCTGGGGGTGTAGTTAAGCACTCCAAAGAAGTCCATCTTCCTTCCATTCAGCAAAGGAGCGAGGGCGGCAGAGTTTTTAGCAGTCCACCCACCTTGTTATTTCTGACACAGCTACATGGTGTCGCTCTTGAGGAGCTGTCCTGCACGGTCCAGGGATTTGTGGTCACTGCTGCTCAACACCCTTTTGGACCAGGTTCCTGCCAGCTTGATCCCAGTCTTGGATTCCAAGGTTAGAGCTTTTCCAGCTTATGCTCATGTGCTTAGCCATTCTCGCCAAAGCACTGCCCTCTGGGCTGTGTGTTGAGCCTGTCACCAGGCTGGGCTCCCAGCCTCCTGGTGAGTTCTCTTTGCAGGCCTATAGGGCCCTCAGGGTCACCCCATTTTCAAAAAGTTTATCAGGGTTTGGAGGCTTAATCCTTTCTCTTCCTAACCCTAATCCAAAACATTGTTCTATTTTCTCTCCTGAATTCTGCCTACGAAGGATTCTCTGGAATGGCAGGCAGCCTTCCACAAGATAACTCCCCTAGGATTTTGGGTGCCTATTCACCCTGCTTTTCACCTGTAAGAAGGGTCTTCTTATGACTTGGTAAAGCATAGATCTGCTCCCAGGAGACTGTGTCTCCGCCTGCAGTCCTAAGAGAAGTAGGCATTATTGAAAATTTACTTTACTTCAGTGATGTATATAATGCCATTAGATTAAGTTTATTAATTATATTCAAATCTTTATCCTTAGTGATTTATTTTTATTTATTTATTTATTTATTTATTTTGCTTACTCTAGCTACTATGGAGAGAACTGTTTAAAATATTTAACTATGGCCGAAACCGGTTTGGCTCAGTGGATAGAGTGATGGCCTGTGGACTAAAAGGTCCCAGGTTCGATTCTGGTCAAGGGCATATAACTTGGTTGTGGGCACATTCCTGGTAGGGGGTGTGCAGGAGGCAGCTGATCGATGTTTCTCTCTCATGGATGTTTCTAACTATCTCTCTCCCTTCTCTCTGTAAAAAAAAATCAATAACATTTATTGTTTTAAAAATTTAAATATGACTATGAATTTTTCTATTTCACCTTTTAATTTTTTGCTTTAGATCTTTGGCCCTATTGTCAAGTGCATACTAATTTAAAGTTGTTATACTTTCCTGGTGAATTAACCTTTTATAATTTTGAAGCTGCCCTTTACATCCCTAATAAAATAATTTTTTTGCTTTAAACTATTTTATCTGCTATAACTACTCATCTTTCTGTTGTTGTTCATCTATGCAAGTTATATATTTTCCCACCTTTTTAGTTTAATCCTTTCGGTATTTATGTTTTATTATTTATTTATTTATTTACTATTTTTTAAATATATATATTTTATTGATTTCAGAGAGGAAGGGAGAGTGAGAGATAGAAACATCAATGATGAGAATCATTGATTGGCTGGCTCCTGAACACACTCTACTGGGGATTGAGCCTGCAACCTGGACATGTGCCCTTGGCCTGAATCGAACCTGGGACCCTTCAGTCCGCAGGCCGATGCTCTATCCTAGGGGTGTCGAACTCAATCAGAGAAGGGGCCAAAATCTAAAATCCAGCCTAAATCGCGGGCCGAATGGTTTACTGAACAGTCATAAACTGTCATTGTGATTGAAACGCAGCGGAGTGCAGTGATGACAGCGCGGTGCGGGCCACATTGCAAGGCCTGGCGGGACGGATTTGGCCCGCGGGCCTTGTGTTTGACACATGTGCTCTATCCACTGAGCAAAATCGGCTAGGGCTCTGTATCTATGTTTTATACATGTCTATTATAAACAGCATAAATTTGATTTTTTTTTATAGCCTGTCATTGTCTCTTAGCTGGTCCCTGTTTAGTTATATATAACCACTGATGTATTTAGGTTTAAATGCCTTCATATTTTATGCTTTCAATGTACTTATCTTGCCAGTTCTTCATTTCATTTGAGCTTTCTTTCCTTTTTTGGGGTTAATTTGAATTATTCAGGTGTTTTCCCTTTTACTAGTTTGGGTGTTATACTCTATCTGTTCCTTAATGGTTGTCCCTGAACTTTTATTTTAACCAAAGTTGATAAAGTTAGAAGTGATAAATAACCCTATTCTTCTTTTGGACTGTACAGGGACCGCAGACTGCTTGAATTCCATTTGTCCCCTTCCCACTTAGTGGTAGACTAGTTGTAATGCACTGCATCAGCTTTGATTAGAGTCACTTAAGGACCAACAGATGGAACAAATGTGATGAGGGAGGAAGAAGTCAGAGAGCAAAGGATTTACTCGAGAAAATTATGTGCATTTGTCAGGACTCTTGGCTGCAAGTGATGAGCTTAGACTCTTTACTTTAAAAAGAAAATCTGTTGGCTTATTGAACTGCAGAGCTAAATCCAGGAGCTCAAAAACTATTTTTAGGGCTGAGTGTGTGTGTCTCCATCTCTCCCAGTTGCCCAACTTTGCTTGTCTTAACTTGGCTTCCTTCCTCAAATGAACTCTTCTGAGTTGCTCCCATCCTGGCAAAGAGAATGGGATGTTCTGATTGTCTACTTTGAGTCAAGTATCCATCCTGTGTGCGAGAGGCCCGAGGCCCTGTGAATGCCAGTCTCACAAGGACTAAATGGAATCAGAAGAGGGAAGTTGTGCCGGGCAGACAAAAGTTGTAGCTACCATAACCCACCACAGTAATGATTGGAAGAGTGAGGCAAAGAAAGAAGAGAGCTAGAGGGGTTGTAATTGGGATGAACTTGGTTAATCTGGTACAAGAAAAACCAAGGAGGACATCACCTGTTCATGAGCCCCTGAAAGGGAGGGAGGATCGGGGCAAGCAGTCCCTTTTCCCACCAACCACTGGGCACTTTGGCTTTGCTGGCCGAGGACATGGAGGTGGTTCACAGCAGCAGAGGTGAGGGAGCTAGTGGAGGGCTCTCTCTCTTGCATGTGGAGGGGCTGTCTAGCGTGTGGAGGGACTCTCTCTAGCATGTGGAGGTGCTTTCTAGCATGTGGAGAGGCCGTCTAGCATGTAGAGGGGCTCTCTAGCATGTAGAGGCTTATTCAGCATAACAGCCATGGTGCTGCCCTGACCAGTTTGGCTCAGTGGATAGAGCGTTGGCCTGCAGACTGAAGGGTCCCAGGTTCGATTCCGGTCAAGGGCATGTACCTTGGTTGCGGGCACATCCCCAGTAGGGGGTGTGTAAAAGGCAGCTGATCGATGTTTCTAACTCTCTATCCCTCTCCCTTCTTCTCTGTAAAAAAAAATCAATATAATATATATATATATATATATATATATATATATATATATATATATATACACACACACACACACACACACACAGCCATGGTGCTTGCTTTTTTTTTTTTTTTTTTAAATATATTTTATTGATTTTTCACAGAGAGGAAGAGAGAGGGATAGAGAGTTAGAAACATCAATGAGAGAGAGTCATCGACCAGCTGCCTCTTGCACACCCCCTACTGGGGATGTGCCCGCAACCAAGGTACATGCCCTTGACCGGAATCAAACCCGGGACCTTTCAGTCCGCAAGCCGACGCTCTATCCATTGAGCCAAACCGGTGCCGACCCTCTAGTCCTTTTTAAGAGAAAGTTCTACACCCACAACTCCTGTTTAGGCAGGGGAAAGCCCCAGACAGTCATGTTTTCTACCATGAAATCTTGCTCTATCCCTACCCAGTCAGAGAGGGACCTCAGACCCAACAACAGCCAATTCCCAGGCTCTCCAGGGACCTGTACAGGGGCTGTGGGCTCACTCTGGGCTAGGAACCTCAGCTGTGCTGCTTGCTAACTGAACAAAATGTGGGAGGAACTGTCTATTCCTGGGATTGGGGGTAAGACTACGACCTCTGGGGCTGTCGTTTATGTGGCTCATTGAGATGACATAAAAAGCACCTGGTAAGACCACGTCACACATTCACTGCCCCCTGGAGGGGCAGTGTTAAATCAGGACGAAATCCTAGGTCTTGAGATTTCACCAACCCAGCGTGCTCTCCCGGGTGAAGCACAGAGAACGAGCAGTGCATTGAAGGAGGGAGCGAGAGAGAGGGGGCCCTCATGGCTCCAGCCACGCTCAGAAAGCACCATTTGTGAACGGTGTGCTGGTTTCTGTCTTCAAGTCTCAAAGCTGAAAATAGGAAACAGCTGAAGACAGCTAAGGCTGGACGAAATGATGAAAAGCCCAGCTGAGATTTCAGTCATCTTCAAAGTTTTAAGTTGTCTCATTCCCAATAGTGTGTGTATGTGTGTAGGTATGTGTGTATACATGGTTCTTTCGTGGTTCACAGTCTTTTACTCTGTGTATTTTCAAGTGAAGATGCACAAAACTTTAGGGAGATTTGATTTGAAGAAAGGTTTAAAATCATTAACCCATTATAGTTATACTGTGCTTAATGAACACAGTTTGTAGTTGTTTGCACGGGAGCTTTGTATGCCCGGTGACGTGGGGAGAAAATATCTTTTTATCCCTTTGTCAAAGTAGAGTTCTGAGCTGCCCTGGATACTCTTTATCCCTTTGCTTACTTTCTTATTAAAAGCAAAATTCCCGCCACTTTGACACTGATGTGCCCTTTCTCACTAGGAAGTAAGTGATTTCGTCATTATACAAACGTGGGGTATGAAAACAGAATTAAGTCTCCTGCCCTCGAGATTGCCCCTGAGGGAGAGGCAGAGCCCAGACCAGGAGCCTGTTGGGTCCCTTTGTCTGAGTCATGTCAGCATGGGGTAGGGCTTTCTGTGCTGCTCCCACTGCCCCCAAATTAATGAAAACTCTGTGAACTGACCCAGCTGGCCTTTCTCCCTGACCCTGTCAGACTCTGGGAGCCGCAGCCCGGCGGAGTCTCTTCCTGTGCCCTAAACCCCGGCTGGGGCTTTTGCTGGCACTCGTTCTTCTGTCTGCCTTCCCCCGTCCTCTCTGCCTTCCCCAGTCCTCCCATCTCTGGCCCCATACCTCAGGGCCTAACTCAGATGCCAGCTCTTCGAGAAGCTTGGTTACACCCCCAGTGGTTAAAAACCCGGTCTTTAGGGTCTGGCCTGACTTCAAGAGGGGGCTCTGCTGCTCTCTAGTGGCGTGGTTTGGGGTAAGTCATTTGTCACATAAGTTCCCTCGGGCTTAGTTTCTCCATCTGTACCATGAAGACAATGATATTTCGAATCAGTGCTTCTCTAACCTACAGCACACGGGCGTTCCCTGGTCACCTTGTTGAAATGCCGGTGCTGATCCAGCGGGTGC